GGAGGAGGCGGAGGCGAGGCGGAGGCGGAGGCGGAGGAGGAGGAGGAGGAGGAGGAGGAGGAGGAGGAGGAGGAGGAGGATGAGGAGGAGGAGGAGGAGGAGGAGGAACTAACTGTTCCTTGTGCTTTTCCTTTTCCTGTGCCGTCCTCTTTATCCTGCTGTTGGTCGCGCTCGCGCGCGTGGGTCATTCTGGACATGACCCCCGAAAGGTTCGTCCGCATCTGGCAAGCCATTGAGAAGTCGACGCCATAGCGTCTGCAAGCCCTTAGATACCTGACGTGCTCGTCTTCCTTTTTTTGTCTCTCTCTCTCTCTCTTTCTCCCTGTCTGACGTTCACGTCTTACGTTCTCTGTGCTGATTGTTGGCTGCGCGGACCAGTGTCCCAAATGCACCGCTGTTCCAGGCGGAACGCAGCCGCTCGTAGCCATACTCCTTGTCTTTGCGGAAACGCATTACGGAAGGTTTTCTCGCCCCTTCTCTGGACCCCAGGGCCCTCTTGGCTTGATTCAGCCAGATGGGATCGAAGTCTCTGTTTGTGAGTTTTTTTCGGTGGTATAATTGAATCACGTTGGAAATTCGGGGGACTGCCGTCGACCGCCGATCGCAGCACCAGGGATCGCCCCCGGCTATGATCGCAAGTCACACGGTCGGAGATTGTGATCGATGACAAGGCGAGGGGAAGTAGGAGGAGTCGCAGGAGGACGGCTCTGCCAGGGTGCAAACACGCAATCCGTGACGGGTGTGCTCCTTGCGCTACGAGAGATCATGAAGAGCACGAGCCGCGTGGGCAGCAGGGATGAGGACGACGCCGGACGCAGGCTGAGGATGAGCAGCCGATGATCCGAGAGCATGCCGAATGCAAGAATGTTTGCAGCGGCGCACCCGTGGCTGGGTGGATGCCGTCGAACCAGCCCCGTTCGGCCGGGCAGGCCGGATACTAAACAAAACAACGGGCACCAACAATAGTAACGATGCAACACGCAAATCACGGGTACATGAATACAATATGATTCTACAGACAGATAACGGCAGCGACAAAAACGACTACACATACCTAGCAGCTACCAAAAATCATCGAATACTGGCCACACGTATTTGATACAAGAGAAAGAGAGAAAGACAGAGAGAGAGAGAGAGAGAAAGAGAACACTGATGCAGGGGGTCTGGACACCTGAGCAACAAGTAATAGATGCACATGTTGTCTTGCACCATTGTTTTTTGTTCTGGCCTCCCCACTTTCAGTGGGCTACCAGGATCCCCCCCCTCCCCCTCAGGGGAGGCGACCCCCTCTTCCTCAAGGGGAAGCCTCCTGGCGGACCTCCCAGGAGCGGAGAGGCTCGGTGGTGGTGGCGGCGCGGCCGGCCTTTCCGTTCCCCGAGCGCGCCCCCCCCACCCGAGGTCCGGCGAGGCGGCCCGGGAGCTCTGCCCCGTGGCCCACGCGCTCTCCCAGCTGCTCCGCGCGGAGTTCGAGCTGGCGGCCTCGCTCCCCGTCCTCGGCGGCGGCCCGGGCGCCTGGGCGCTCTCCTCCGCCCGGAGGGACGGCCTGCTGGCCGCGGCGCGGGGCAGCGCCCTCGGCGGCGCCGCCTCGTCCGCGCTCCTGCACGCCGCGCACCGCCGGGTCGCCCTGTGGGAGGCCGCGCTCGGCGCCCGGGCGCCCCCTGCGGGCGGCGGGGGCGCCGCCGAGGCCTCGTGTCCGCCCGCGGTTGCGGCGCTGCCCCCGTTTGCCTGCCGTGCGCTGCAGGCCTGGGCGGCCGTGGGCGCCGCGGAGCCGTGGGGAGACGGGCCGCGGCGAGCCGCAGGCACCGCGTCCGTGGTCGACCTGTGGCGCGGGGGGTTCGCGTGCGCCCGATGGGAGCGCCGCACAGGCCAGGCCAGCCGCGAGGAGCCGCGCCCTGGGCGGGGCTTCGTGCCCGCCCCTCTGGTGGACGGCGGCAGCGAGGACCTGCTGCGTCGGGAGGTGCGCTGGCTTGAGCGGGCATCTCTCCGGCGCTCTCCGAACCCGTTGTGCTGGACGCCGGAGCGCCGGCAGCGCGGCCTCACCCCTGAGCTGTGCTGCGGGCAGCCCGGCCGCCTGACCGTGGACGCCCAGGCTTGCTGGGACGCCGTGTACTCAGCGGGCCCGTGCTGCAGCAGGCCAGCTGGGCACCGCTGCGGTGACCTTGTGCTCGCCGCCGCCAGCGACGGTGTGCGCACGTGGGAGACGGACGACGTGCTGCGCGAGTTCCACGGCGCCCTGGCGGGAGAGCTGCTGTGGGCGTCGCGCGGCGTGGGCCGCGAGGCCGCTCCCGGCGACGACGGCCCCCCGTTGGAGGCGCTGGCCGCGCTGGCATCCCTGTGGCCCGAGGCGGATCTAAAGGAGCGGTGCCCGGAGGCGTGGGCGCTGGCCAGGCTCCTGGACCTCGTGGCGCCAGGCGCGCCTGGGGCGGCGGAGTTGGCTGGAGACCCCCGGTCCCGCGAGCTGCTGGAGGTTTATGCCGAAGACGGAAAGACAGCATAAACATAAATTTTTGGCGCCCCGTGCGGATACCTTGGATCCGCGCTGGGCCCCCCTGGCGGCGCCTCCGGCACCGCCCCTGGCGTGCTCCGCGCGCCTCAGATCCAAGAAATCCGCGCGGAGCGCCAACAGTTTATGTTTATGGCGTTTTTGCTTCTTCTATTATGGGCGCCACGGGCAATCCTTCACACAGCTGCCTGTGCTGCTGCTCGCCAGTCAGCCAGGGGGAGAGTGGCTGAGCGACGCGCTGCGCGCGGCTGCAGGCAGCAGGGCCGCACTGCCAGCTGGCGACCTGGACACGGGCAGTGCAGAGTGGACGGGGCACCCGACCAGTAAGGTCGAGCATGCCTGGCGATCTGCGTTGGAGCAGTGCGCTTCGGCAGTCTGCAGCTGGAATGCGGTGGAGGAGGATGCTGCGGCGGGCGCGGCCTGCAGCGGAATCCCTGTCCGCTCCGAGCACGGCGGTGTGGGGCGAACCACCGCTTTCGGCCGCGCGCTGTGGTGCGCGGCCCAGCTGACGCCGGCCAGGCTGGCGATCGACCTTTACGGGGGCGAGGGGGACACGGCGGTGCTGCTCGCCGACGGCCTGCGCGCCCAGGCGGGCGGCGATGGGCTCCTGGCCACCTTCGAGGCCGACGTGGGCCGGGCGCGGCGCGTTTCGGCCCGTTTGGCGGCCCGGGGCGTCGCGGTCCGCGAGGTGCTGCTTCCTCCCGGTGGGGTCGTGGGTGCCGAGGTGGAGCGGGCCTTCCAGGAAGCGGCGCAGCAGGGGGGCGTCGGAGCCGTCGTCTTTGCGGGAAGGACCTCGACGACCGTTCTGAACGAGGGGCGCAGCGTCCTTGCCGCCGCGTGTGGCCGCGCAGGCGGGCTCGGCCTCGTCCTGCTCGACCCAGACGTGGAGATGGGCCCGCACGAGTTCGCCGAGGACTGGCGCGCCCTGGAGCGCTGCGGGCCCCTGGCCACGGCCATCTACAACACGAACCTGCCCGGCGGCGCAGGCTGGGTCAGGGAGCGGCTGGTCCACGCGGGCGGGCACAGGGAGGTGCTGGCCGGCTTCAACGACGGCGGCAGCGGGGAGGCCGACGTGCTCTACCAGTTGCGGGCCTGGTCCCTGCTCGTCCTTGGCTCCGCCCGGCTCCCGGGGGTCGCGGGGGGGGATGGCGGGCGCGCGGCTCTGCCGCCGCAGGCTGGGGGCGCCTCCGCGGAGCAGGACCTGGAGCAGATGCGGGTCCTCTCCTCCATGGAGTCGGGCGCGTCCTGGATCGGGGCGACCTTTCGCTCCACGAGGGGCGGGGCGGTCAAAAAGGTGCACAGCGCCGTTGAGGGCATCGTGCCAGTCCAGATGCTGAGGCCCACCGATGAGCTCCTGGCGCCGCCCGCGGTCGACACGAATCCGCACGCGTGCTTTTCGGAGCTCAACTCCGACGCCGCAGACTACCGCTTCAGAGTGCCCTGTTTTCTGACGTGTGAGGGCCCCGACTTTGACTCCAGCTGGGGAGATTTCCGAAGGCTGGTCCACCAGAACGCGAAGGACGGCTACCCGCCAGACGAGGTGCTCTTCGGGACGGCCAGCCGGCTGATCGCGGATGTGGCCTTCAACGATTCTGCGCTCATCCTTGGGCGCTCCCGCTTCATGTCCAGGCTCAGGGAGGCAGAAGAAACCGAGCGAGCGCGATAGCTTCGCCTGTTCGCGGGCGGCCCACCTTCACTGGCGCCGAGCCCCCTGGCGGCCTTGGTCGACTACGCGTAAGAGTGACCCTTCGCTGGAGCGACCTTTGGCGCGGGCCATTGGAGTCCCCCGGTCGCCGAAAGCGATTCGATGGTAGCGTCTTGCGCGCTGATGGTGTTTGGCCCCCCCCCGCGGCCCCAGAAAGCTGCGCACCAAGTGCCACCCTTGCCCGGGGTCACTCCTGCGTGTAGCCGAACTGGGCGGGAGCCTGCCGTCCGCGGGCGCGCAAGGTCTGTGCCGACGCGAAGTTCTGCCCCCCCGCCCCGAGGCTGAGGCACGAGTTCACGACCGACGGGCACCTGGAGGCGTTCTGCCTCTACGGGATCGCCAGCGCCCTCTTCGTCCGCGCGCGAACCTTTCTGAGCATGGATCCTCAGGGCTTCCGCCCTCCGCGTGCGTCCCTGGAGGAAGCTCAGGCCTCGGTCTCAAAGCTGATGATCAGGATTCTGTTGATGCTGCTGCTAATGATGGTTTTGATGATGATAGTGATGCTGATCGTAATGATGATGATGGCGATGGTGATGATGATGATGAGGAGGAGGAATGACTGAGTCACATAACTTTGCGCGTACAGACCTTGGGCTCGAGAAGGAGGGGGAGAAGGAGGATGCGGATGATGATGCTGCTGCTGATGACGAGGCTGCTGCTGATGATGACGATGATGATGATGATGGTGGGTGGTGGTGATGATGATGATGATGATGATGACGATGACGATGCTGATGATGCTGCTGCTGACGACGATGATGAAGATGACTATTATATTGATGCTTATGACGCGTAGTATGATTATGCTTATGCTTGTGTTGTTGCGACTGCTGCTGTTGTTGTTTGTCATGATGATGCTACTGATGCTGATGATGAGGAATTCGCTGATGATGATAATGGTGAGGCTGATGATGGTGATTCTGATGATGCTGCTGATGATGCAGATGCTGCTGCTGATGCTGATGCTGATCATGATGATGCTGATGATGGTGATGATAAAACTGCTGCTGCTGATGATGATGATGCTAATGATACTGCTAATGATACTGCTGATCATGATGATGATGACGATGCTGCTGCTGATGATGATGACGACGATGATAAGGATGATGATGATGCTGATGCTGGTGATGATGATTATGGTTACGATGATGATGCTGCTGATGATGATGATGAGGATGATGATGATGATGATGATGATGCTGCTGCTGCTGATGATGATGATGATGATGATGAGGTTGATGTTGTTGTTGTTGATGATGATTATGATGATGAGGATGAGGCTGAGGATAAGGGGGTGGGATGTCAACATCGGTAAACTTCATCCTTCGCGACTCACGAAGCACAGAGCCTGATGTTGTGGCTTCATGGGCGCGTGAGACAACAACGCCATACCAGGTTTCGCGTCACTGGTGCCGCGATTGCCGGACCGAACGCGACTTCGTGCCTTTTGTACCAAGAGGTTTGACGACGGTTCGGCCTTGCAAAACATTAATATCATCAAAGCATCCTGATAGCGATATGATAGACCATTGAATGACGAGTCGATGAAGAGTCCTTTCGCATTTTACGATTAAGTAAACCACTATACGAGACGCCATATGTAGCGCCATCCGTCTCACTGGTGTGCAGCCGATACCGTGTCGAGTTTTCCGCACGGTATTCTTGCACGCCCGGCGGGAGCTAGACTCCATATTCCCAGGAGGAGCCACGCCGCTGAAGTGGGCGAGAGAATTCCGAAGTGAGCTTGATTGGCAGTTTGCACAGTGTTTCGGCGAGAAGGCTTGTCGTAAGGCGCCATACGTTCACTCCACGTCGGGCCACCGCACTGCATGGGTAGATGTCCTGTTTGCAGTGTACGGGTCTGACTGGCAATCGCACCGTGCACACTTCGATGATGTGGGCCGCTGGAAGCATGAGTGCATGCATTTCATTGACTGCATGTGCCAGCTGTGGTCTCTGCATAATGCACGGGGCGTTGTGGAGAGGGTGCCCCTCCAATTTGCTGACGCCACGGCGCACGGCCACGAGAATCTGAGTAACCTGCCCGCGATGGTTGCACATGAAGCAGACCAGCAATGGAGCCACGAGAGCCACTGCTTGAGCATTGTCGTTGATAGTGAAATATGGGCAAGCCTACTGAAAGATACGTTTGCTTCGATGGCCGAAGAGCATCAACCTGTCTTCCTGCGCATGGACCAGGCATTGGCAACTTTATTCGGTCGCGAATGGCGTCCGAGGACTCCTTGGGCTGACCTGGTCGAATGGCGCCCTGGCGTGTACAATGTGCAAGCGGGCCACCTAGCAACCTATGCGATGAATAGCGCATGCCGCTGGGAGAAGGTCGATAGCGACAGTTTGATAGATGCATTGCGGAGCGGGTGCAATATCCGGCTGTGTAGCGACGGCGGCCTCCAGTACCGAGACGGCTCCGCTGGATGTGCTTGGGTCTTGTATTATGTGCAACTGCACGGTGAAGCGTGGAGTTCTCTGTGTTAGGGCATGCAGGTTTTCATGTGAGCGGTGCAACATCGGCATTTGTAGCAGATAGTTTAGCTTAAGACGCAGCGTTGGCAACTCTATCACTCGTGTTTGGATTGTTTTCCGGGCACGTGTGTGTAATCTGACGGGCGTGCCATGGTGCCAAGCCTTGCGGAAGAAAGGGATGAAGGAGCCGAGAAGGCCCTAGAGAGGCCCTTGAGAGGCTATTGGGGGGGTGGGGGATCCTGATATGCTCCTGAGTGGCTTCCGGCATGCTTCAGAAGAAGGCTTCGAGGAGCTACTAAGAGGCCCCCCATAACCCGAGTAAGCGGTTAAGGACCCCCCCCCCCCCTCTCCGGTGAAAGGATAACGCACCCGGCACCCGGAAGCGTTATCCTGGCACCAGGAGGGGGTACACCAGATCGCACGGGTCCCACGGAGTCCCGCAGGTCTCGCAGGTCCCACAAGCTTCTCCGCAGGTCCTGCAGCTTTTCTAAGCTTTTCCTTAGCTTTTCTCAGCCTTTCCTTATTCGTATTCGTATTCTTATTCTCATTACAATTCTAATTGGGATGCCACCCGAGGCGGGGCGCTGGAATTATTTATTTTCCTTCCATTTGCGCGGTGCTAATAATATCGCTCGGCGAAAACCCCCCCAAATAATTATTCAATTACGGCGCGGTGCTAATGATAACGCCGGGGGGTTCCTTAATTGCTTCTCCGGGTTAAGCTCTTGGGAGGGTTTCGAGAGGCTCAAGAGAGGCTCATGGGAGGCGATGGGTGGGTTTTGGGGGTCCTGACAGGCTCGAGAGGCTCTTTGTTTTGGATCGGGTTTTGATTTTTCATTGGGTTGCAGTCAAATTTAGTCGTTTCCGCGTAACTCGTCATGGGCGGCCGACGTCGGCCGCAGTGCCGTGCCGTTCCGTGCCGCGCTGTCCTGAGTCTTCAGGTGGTGCACATTGTGTTGTGCCGTCCGTGTCGTCCTTTCGGTCCAAATGAAGTCTGGCCCTACGCTGAATGCGTCGTTTGCATGGCGCAGGGCTTCTGCGCTCTATATTCTCTAGTTGCCCTTGCCCTTTGCGACTGCCTTGTGACTGGCGCCCGAAACGGGCGCTCCGAGGAAAGTGTCGCCACGGGCGGGTCATTCTGGGGGAGAACGACTTAACGTTGCGTGTGCTTGTGTGTTGAAGACAACATGATTTTGGATGGGCCCAGCTCGTAGTTATTGAGCAATCGTGGGTTTGTAAGCATGTGGTTCTATAGGCTTACGACACATCCGCCGACCCCTCTATAAACTACTGCGCCTCCAGGACTGCATTCCACGAGGCTTGTCCGAATCATGACACAGCGCTCAAGTCATGCGTCAAGTTCAGTGAAGTGTGTGGCGCGCTCTGGGATGTCCGTTGTGATCTCATGGCGAGGATTCTCGCGGGCCTCTTCGAGGCAGTTTCGAGGGAGGTCTTGGGGACCCTTTTTGGGCTTGTTTTGGGCCTCTTGGGGGCTCCTTGGGGCCTCTTGGGTGCCTCATGGCTCATGGGGGCCTCTTGGGCCGCTTGGGGGAGTCTAGGGTCCTCCAGAGAGCTTCGTTGGGCGGAGCGCTGGAATTCGCAGTTCGTGGTCTCTCTCTTGGGTCCTTCTTGGGGCCGTCTTGGAGCTCTCTTGGGCCGTCTAGGGCGCTTCTTGGGCCACGTTAGAGTTCTTTTGGGTTGTCTTTGGGGCCTCCTGGGAGCCTCGTGGGCCATCTTGGGGTGGTCCTGAGGGCCTCGTGGAGGCCTCGTGGACGGTTTTCAACGTCGTGAAGGCTAACACATTGGATATGCTGAAAATGCACGTTTCCCTCATGGAGTTCCAAGATTTAGGTTTCTTCGGGGCTTCTTGGGAGTCCTCTTGGACGCTTCGTGGGGTTTCTTGGCAGCCTCTTGGGCTGTGTTAAGCTCATCTTGGGTGCCTTGGGGCGATCTTTCGGCGACTTGGGGTTCTCGTGGACCGTCTTGGCGGCTTTTTGGGAGGCGTCAAGTGCCGTCGTGCAGCTCAAGAGCGAGCCCAGGGAGCCCAGACCGCCCCAGGTGAATCCGGTCCGGGGCCACCCGGGTCCGGGTGGGGGGTCAAAATCCCGATTTGGGGCCACGGGGGGGGATTAGGGGGGGGAACGATCTCACACGCTTGGAGACCCACAAAGGGTCAGCGGATTGATGCTGGTTTCGGGAAGTATAGCGCGCCATCTGAGGTTGATGCTGTGGTCGACCCAGCACGACAATTCCGACAGAAGGGCAGGGCGTCGCACCCCCAGAATTTTGGATCAGGGGGCCGTGCAGTCAATGCTATCGGCAGCGTACGATGTCTCTGGCGCGCGTCAAGAAGTCCGCTATGTACATCGTTCCGAGGATTGGCGCCCGAGGCCTACAGCTGGACGACATGGCGTGGCTGAGACGACATCCAGCAGATGGTCCATGAGTCCTTCTTTGGCACACGCGGCACGAGCGAACCCGCCCCACTGCCACAGCTGGAGGATGCTGTCCTTGCGCAGACATCGAGAGGTACAACGGCTGTATCTTGCGCGCCCGCGGCGCCCGCTGATGCCCGCGGCCCCCCCCGATGGAGCTCCCTGGCGCGGCTGTCTGCTCTGTTGGGGTCGCGGGGCCCTGCAGCTTGAGTCCCTGGTTCCACTTGGCCCGCAAAGTGGCAACGCGTAGCGGCCCCACGAGAGCGCGCAGCTACGACATACACGTGCCCCCCCGCCTTCTGTGCACTTGAACCATGTCCGCGGCGGAGGGTTGCCGCCAGCTAGAGCCCACGTGAAGATCATGTGCATGCGTATCCAGAATTGTGCGGCAGGGCCGCGAACGACGACGTGGATCGGCTCATGGTGGAGCACCCGAGAAAGTTGTGCGATGGCGACATCCGCCCCTCTTGCGGTGACGGGCGCCGCATAATCCCTTGATCCGAAGATTGCGCGCCGCTTCCTGACGGATGACCTGGGGCGTCGTTGATGTGATATCGGCTGCCGTGTTGGGCCTTCTTCACATCGATTTCGTCGAAGTCGGACATTGGGGACTGGGCAGCTACTGTAGACTGGGGCTGGGGAGTATATTCCTCGTCAGGACGGGCTTTGCCAGCTCCCACGACCAGTTTAGACGGACGCGGTCAAGCGCGGTGCCATGCTTCAGATCGGAAGGCGCGCGGGGCCAACCGATGGTTGCATGTGCTATCCTGGGGCAATACCGTGTTTCAGTACTTGCCACTTGGCAGCTGCGGCCGCTCACATCTATGCGCCTCCCTCTTTCTACACCTGGGGTCGCCCCCTCCTCCCTTCTGAGCCTTCTGCTCTGATCTTCCCTCTGCCTAGCTTGCCCACCCCGTCATCCGTCCGTTCTCCTCTTTTCCCTTCCTCCTGTTCTCCTCGTGCTCCTTCCCCTCCCCCCCGTATCCTCCCCCTCCTCCTTCTGCCGTCCTTTCCGTCCTGCTCCCCTCCGCCCATTTCCTCCACCTCCTCCTCGTCCTCCTCCCTGTCTTCTCTCCTCCTCCTCCTCCTTCGCCTCCTCCTCCTCCTCCTCTCCTCCTCCTCTCCTCCCTCCTCCTCCTCCTCCTCCTCCTCCTCCTTCTCCTCCTCCTCCTCCTCCTCCTCCTCCTCCTCCTCCTCCTCCCCCTCCTCCCCCTCCTCCTCAAACTTTCCTCCTCTCCGTTCTGTTTGACCCCCGTTCCCCTTATCCTCCTCCTCCGCCTCCTCTCGTGTTTGCGTTCCAGCTGGCGGACCCCGCCTGCGGTGGGGCGGAGGATCCGCCGCAGTTCATGAACCGTGGCCAGGTCCGCTCGGCCCCCGTCGCGGCCATGAACGACCTGGAGCCCGCATGCCCTCGCGGCGCTCGCGAGTCCAGCCCACGCCTTTCTCCTCTTCCCACTTTTTAGTTCGTTCGTCTCCTCCTCCTCTTCCTCCTCCACCTCCACCTCCTCCTCCTCCTCCTCCTCCTCCTCCTCCTCCTCCTCCTCCTCCTCCCCCTCTCCTCGTTTCTCGTTTCTCATTGCAGCCAGCGGCCTTCTCCACATCATCCGCGTGCCTCCTCCTCCCTCCTTCGTCTTTTTCTTCTTCTTCTTGACTTGAACTTCCCTGTGGTGGTGCAAGCTCCCCCCAATAATTGATGGTTAAACATGAGGGCCAACGGACTTGCACCATGCTCGGACATCGCCCTCATGATCCCTTTGATGCGAGGCCGAGGGAGTGTTCAAATAAGTACCGACGTATAGGACAGGTAGGGTTAGGCTGATGTGTCGGGGCTGACCTATCTCAAGCTCTCTGTCAGGCCATCCGTGATCGCAGCGCTGGCGCCCTGCAGTTTCCTTGAGCGTTGCTATCTACTAGCTCTGGATTCATTTGCCGATTGGAATAGGGCCGCGCTCATCACCCGAGTCCAAATAAGCACATACTCGTCGCCTTCGTTTTGTTATTGTGGATGTTGCCTTTGCTTTAGCATTGGTATGGTGTTGCGTCTGCTCTCAGTGCGACGCGCATTTCCATCACCATTACTGCTGTAATTTCCCGCCTCCTTGTTTCACTTTGTTTGTTGGGGCCAGGCGCCTTCCTGCTGCTGCCGCTACTTCCTCGTCCTCCCTCGTTCCCCCTCCTCCTTCCTTCTCCTTCTCCCTCCTTCTCGTCCCACCCTCGCCTCCTACGCTCGTCTCCCTCCCTCTCCACCCCTTCCCCTTCACTCCGCCCCCCTGTCCCTCGTCCCTCCCCCCTCCTCCTCCTCCTCCTCCTCCTCCTCCTCCTCCTCCCTCCCTCCCTCCCTCCCTCCCTCCCTCCCTCCCTCCCTCCCTCCCTCCTCCTTCCTCCTGGTTCCTGGTCCCTGGTGGGAAGAGCATCGTTCGTAGCCCCGCCAGGGTCGGCCCTGGGTGTGGGGGGGATCAAACTAGGGCCAGATGACCCCGGGAGCACCGCTCCAGGGGCCACTGGCGACACCTGTATTTTGCCGTGTATACGACAGGAGGAGGAGGAGGAAGAGGAGGAGGAGGAGGAGGAGGAGGAGGAGGAGGAGGAGGAGGAGGAGGAGGAGGAGGAGGAGATGAGGGGATAGCCATCGAATCATCCATCAAGCAATACGATGACAAGAGGTAAAGATGGATGGGTTAGCTGGTGGCGGCGGCAACGAGTCTGGAGGAGGGGGGAGGGAGACCGTTTCCTCAGTATCCTTCTCCTCCGTCTCCTCCGTCTCCCCCGTTCCAGGCCTGCCCCCCCCGCGCCATGGAGGCGGAGAGAGGGAGCCCCGCCGCGGCGGGCGCGGCGTTGGGGTCCCGCCAGGAGCTCGCCTTCGCCACGGTCAGCGACTCGGACACGCCGTGTGGGCCCCTAGCTCGGCCTCCTCCTCCTCCTTCTCCTCCTCCTCCTCATCATCATCATCAACATCATCACCATCATCATCATTCTCATCATCATCAACATCATCATCATCATCATCATCATCATCATCATCATCATCATCACCATCATCATCATCCGTAGCCATTTTGGCTCAAGCCATTTTGGCTCAAGCCATTTTGGCTCAAGCCATTTTGGCTCAAGGTGGTTCAGAGACCAAGCAGCCGAGCCCGTCTCCGGCTCGGCCCGCGTTTCAGGGGTCTGATTCGGGCTCCTTATCTACCAGTGAGCTCCTGCTGGAGCCAGCGCTACAGAACATATCGCCATTACACCTTTCGATTCCCGACTCTCGATTGGAACCATGGGCTCGCCTGCCGCGAGCGGTGATGCTCTAGCTCAGATCATGGCCCGTTTCAATGCCGTGGATCAGGGACTCGCAGATTGCAAGAAGCTTGGCGAAAGAGTCCAAGCCAACGAGGCCAAGATGGCCCTATTCGAGGAGAGCACCAACAGAAGCTTCGCCGAGCTCCGCTCCAAGCTAGACGCCATGAACTCTGGCATCCCCACGGACAAGGCCGACGTCCTCATCAAGCTGCAGGAGCAGGTCACCACGCTGAGCTCGCAGGTCTCGACAATTTCGCGGCCTCCATCGCTTACTTCTACAGCTTCGTCTGGATCCCAAGTGCGACGTCCTCGCGCTGCCGCAGCTGGACCATATGACGAAAGCAACCCGTGCCGCCTCTGGATCAGAGGCTTCCCGCGCAAGCTGATGCAGACGCAGTTTGAGGCGCACTACTCGGTCCTCAGGACCAATCTTCCATCTGAGCTGGCATCCAAGGTGGCGCCGAAATACCAGAATTTCAAGTACTCGTACGCAATCGACTTCGAGAGCAAGGCCCAAGCCGACAGCTGCTGGGGCCACTTCAAGGGCATCACGATGAGGTGGATCGACCCGCGCACCTCGCTGACCCACGACCTTCGGCTCGGCAAGGACCAGCCATTGCCCGTGCGGCACAAGGCCTACGCGCTGGGACTCGCCTACAACATCATCCAGACTGAGATGAGGAGCAAGGAGTTGTGGAACGCAGCCCCCATGAAACTCGGCACCAACCCGTTCCAGGGCATCCTCTACTTGATGGAGAACGGCGACCCATTCGAGATGGTCAAACTGAAGGAGGTGATCGGCAACGGCGACGGACGCTTCGAGATCGACGTCGACGCTGAGAGCTTCAAGCACTTCCGTCTGGAGGAATCGTTCACAAACGGGCTCTCGGACCGTGTCCAGGCGCTGCTGGCTGAGTAGGAAATTCCTGAGCAGATATCCTGTGCCACTCTCGCACCGCCCCTCTCGCGTCGCCGTCTGGAGGACGGCTCTTGTTCGCCGAGCTTTGCAGATCGTGTGCGCGGCGAAGCCTCGCAGGCTATGGGTGCCCACACACAAGATCCGCTGGATGGCAGATCTCCTCCTCCCGTGCCTCCTCCTCCGTCTGGTGCTGAAGAGAGTGCAGCTTTCACAATTCGCAACAAGTTAAGTATCGTTTCATATAATTCGGCCACTCTGTTTGGTAGCGTGCGCGGCTCACATGCACGGCAAAGCAAGAAACTAGCAAAGATAACACAGCTTATCAACAAGTATGACATTGTCCTGTGTCAGGAAACTCACGGTTCTGAAGGCGACTTAAGCTCTCTAGAGCGCGACTTCCCCTCCCACGTCCACTTCGGCTCCTTCTGCTCTATCTCGTCTAGTGGTGGCTGCACTATTTCAATACGTAAGTCTGTGATGAACTGGTTTGAAGGCCAGCCTGATATCACCCATATCAGTGGAGGGCGATGCTTCTCCGTGCGGGTGACGGGTGCGAAAGGCACGATGTTGATCATGAACATACACATCGAACCCCTCCTCCCTCATCAAGCAAAATATGATCTCATGTCGCGTGCAGCTCGAAGTATACCTAGCAGCAACACGTGCCTCTCTTTCTTGGCTGGAGATTTCAACTTTGTTGAGGAGGATGATGTGCGCATCCCCCTTGACGGCAGCGAGCCCACGGTAGGGAGCACCACTCTGGCCAGGCACTTCGGCGCCGTCTTCCCGTCCTTCTGCGAGATTGCGCAGACGGACTGCACCCACAGGACTCAAGTGCGCAACGTGGTCACCTCGGTCGCTCGGCTCGACAGGATCTACACGAATGCCCCCGCCGGTAAAATATTAGACTGGCACCCCAAATCTGGAACAATTGGTCTCGCACACAACATCGATGAGGTGTCCGATCACATTCCTGTGTTTCTGCTGCTGTCTCCTGGGTCCTCGAAGAGCCTGAGCATCCCTAGGTGGGTCTCCGAGCATCCCGAGTTCGGTCAGGTGATTGAATCCCTCATCGAAGAAGTAGGCCTCGACGGCTCCCCCTTCCAGCAGCTGCGCCTGCTGAAGGACATCTTTTTCGCCGCTAGGGAGGAGCTGACACATCGGATGTTCAAGGGCGGGGTCCTGACCGACAAGCAAAAGATCGCTGTGTGTTTAAAAGCCATGCGGGCCCTTCGGGCTCACTCTCCTGGTTCGTCCTGGAGCCAATCCTCTTCCTGGGTCAAAAAGTGTATGAAAGCTTATCCCGAGTTGGCTAGGTTTATTGATTCTGACAGCTGCAGTTACTACGACTATAACGCGTTCCATGGTCATTTGAATGAGCTCAGCAGCGCGGTCATCCTGGAGGATCTCGCGAAGCTGCCTAGCGCTGAGCACGGTTGACAGGAAGTTGAGCAGCAGCGAGCTCGACTTCACCAGCGTCTGAAATCTTGGTCGCCGAAGCGGCGGCGTCTCAACTTGAGCGGCATATCTGCGCTTGACGGCTCCCCTCTTGGCTCTCTAGAAGAAAGTGCTCAAGCGCTGGCGACACATTGGGGCGAGGTTCATTCTCAGGGACCTGGGCTTCACCCGAAATTTCTGGAAATCCTGTGCGAGCTTTCTG